GAGCTTGCCTGAAAGGGTAGGAACACAAAGTGAGGCAGTCACAGCAAACTTTGGGCTTGCAGCATTTTTGATGATCTTCAAATCCCGTTGCACAGCAGCTGCAAAAGGGGGTTGAAATATTGTCAGAGATGTCGAGCTGAACCGTCTTTGGACACTCCTCCTGCAATCATGTCAAGTTGTTGAACAGGTGTCAGCCAAATCTGCAACTCGCAAGGTAAACAGAGGCCAACTCCTCAAAAAAGAAACGAGGCAAAAACAAGCTGGCCAACTCCAGCATTCGATTGCATACTCAGCAGGTGTATAGAGACATTATACACTTGAGTAAGTAAACCTGTTTTTGATGTTCTCGTCTTCGTCCTTGCATGCCTGTCAGGCTTTCGTCTCCGCAAAACGTTGCAGACATGTTCGTTCGTGAATCACCATCCTGTTCGTTCGCTCCATTAGCATCGTGATGACTTGATTCAATCCAAACGCTTTCCAGCAGGTTCGTCCCAGAAACAGGACAGAACGAGGCGCGACAGTTCCTGGAAACGCTAAGGTGAGTCATTCCTCGGCTACCGACGGTCGAACGACGGAGGGTCCTGGCAAAACTCGATTCTCAGCCATCACCTAGTAAACCTAAAGTATGCAAAAAGAATGTAGTTTCAGAAAAAACAGTTTTTTTGAAAATGTATTTTTTGTATAACAATTACCTTTTTGGATTTTGGTTACCTTTTGTTACCTTTTGCATACTTACTGCTGTTTGTTTGAGAAATCATGGGACCATTCTGTCTGACATCTGGAGTTGTGGGCAAATGAACAGGGCGCCAGTACTTACTTTCTGTACACAAAGGATGTTGCAATCACCAGAGGGCATTTAGATGATACATGATGCCCCCTGTGCACAAATTGCATCAAATTGCAACTTCCTCGTTTTGCAAAGATTGCTTTGGAGATCCATATCGCCATCGAAACCATTTCAAAGTGGTCGAGCTCTATCTATTTAGTTCATAGTCATGGTTAGAGTGGCCAAAACTTCAAGACGTTGAAAAGCTGCTCTGCCTTTGCCCTCGAAGAACTTCGAAGCGAAGGCCCTGGAAATCGACCGGACAGAAGCCAATTTCACTGAGAGCATGCTGTGTTTGAGATGTGTCAAATTATCCCAACAGCTTGTCATGGAATGCCTTGATTCCATCTTGCCTGAAAGATTCGGATAAGTTGCGGTGATCATTCAAAGCTGAAAAATAGAGAAACGCTTGGGGCAAGGGAAAACAAAACCTAGCTCGATCTGCAATCGCTGAGATTTCCATTTTTGTCAGTGGACATTTAAACTTCCATGCAGGAGTGGCCGAAAAACAATTACGGAATTTACCGTCCAAATGACGGAAATCACCGGAAAAATTGCGGAAATTGCCGGACACGGTTTGGATGTTTTGAATGTAATCTTTTTTGCTGTTTCAGGGGCCTCTGGTACGTTGGTACATGCAGGTTTCCTTTGATGTGGCCACGCCTGCTCCTATCAACTCCTTGGTTTCGAGCTGCGCCACTCTGTGTGAGGTGAGGGCTTTGAAGGCATGCCCTGCCCGACACATGATGTTGTGCAGCCCCCTGATGAGGAAGACACCCTTCTCCAGCAGTTGCAGGAGCAAAACACAGCTAACTCGCTGTAGTAGTTGTTTCGATTCCTTAAGAGGGGCTCGCACTGCGTTACAGGTTGTGTATGACTTCGGCCCAAACGCCAAATTTTTCTCAAACCACTTTTGAGACGAGGGAAATTGTCAAACTGTCCAAATTTTGCGTGTCAGTTAAATGGCATTGTGCAAACAAAGTTCTTATTATTGGGAGAATCGGCCGTGTCAGTAGACAGGTTGCAAGCAAGCAGGTGATCCTAAGGGCCATCGAAAGGTACGGTGTATCCTTGCACTTTCGCCGGAACCGACTGAAAGAGCCTAAGTTTAGGTGAAAAACTACCTTTTGGTGTAAGAAGAGGCTGGATTTGGGATTGGAAGCAGCTGAAAAAAATGAATATTGCATACCCTCCACTGGCTTGATCGCAGCAACTACAATTTTACAAAACAATGACGTTTCTTGGCTGAGATGACCTTTTTTGCCGGAAAAGAACACGATTACATTTTTTTTGCATACTTGGGTTTTCTAGGCACTTCTTTAAATTCCAAGCTATTGGATCGGCACTTCCGATCCAATCCGCCTTGCACCAGTGCAGTGACAAGTCGGTGGCCGTGAAACCAAGTCGGTCGCCGTTTTGGAGGTGCAGGGTTGGAGTGTCCGAGACTCAATGATTTTCAGGGAGTTTCAAGATCGTCCGCACTCACGCCGGACACACGGCCCGTGACCCCGTCACAGGCCTTAGAGTTGGAGTTCCACTCGTCAGGGTCGGTCACAGGTTTTGGGGCGCGGGCTGAAACTTCAACGATGGGCTTCGTCAGTGGCCAGTGATGTGACCATCATTGGACTTCCCGAAGTCTGCATCCCCCTGCAGCTGGGCGATCCCATCCCACAAGGATCCAGTTGCAACATGTAAGCAACGAAGTTCTGGTTAGCAGTGGTTCCAAACACTACAACCAGAGACCTAACCCTGGTTCCTGATCTCGTGGCCTGGGAGGAAACCTGGGCATTGGAGAAGAGTGTTGTTCGAAGAAGCTCGTTTGTTCCACTCGCTTCGTTAGGGGTTGCGAGTGCTTTCACACCGATAGAGCCACCCGAGTGGTCCGTGAGAACTCGATGAGCACAACATGAGCAGCTTAAGGTAGCTAGGAAGCTACCTTAAGCTGCAACACGTGGGTTAGGCCTCCCCCCCAACCATTTGCTTTTGTTAAATAGCTATAAAGACTAAACGCATCTCCCAGCAGTCACAAAGGGGTGCGATCCATGGAGGTAGTTAGGGGTGCCCAGAACATCCACTCACTGGACTCAACACCACCCCGACATGTGACTGGTCCAAAGACCTTTCAAACCAGATACATCAGTTAATATCAGTTACCTCCAGATACATCTCGTTTTGAACCCCTCTTTCTCTTCACTCGATGCATTGCACTTCACTCGACTCCACTCTTCCGAGTCCAGTCTGGCCGACGCAGACTGGACGCATGTTGGACGCAGACTGGACGCAGTCGGACCGCACTCGCGCGAAGTGGTATTCCCGAGCTCCTTCGGGGCGCAGCCCCCACCCGCCGCGAATTCCGAGTCCCGGTGGTTCCGAACGAAAACCGGGGCGCCGGTCGGTCGCTCGCGTCGCGTCGCGGTCGTGGGGGCTGGGAAGGACCTTTCAGGAGACTGGGTGGGATGCCTGCACACGTGGATCAGCAAGCGCTTCATAGCGCTTCCAAACTGCTTTTGATGATGGATATGGGGATTGGTGGGAACCATTGGAAGCCACAAAACATCAGAGGCGTAACCTTGATTGTCAGGGAAACTGAGGGAAGTCACAATGCTTGGTAAGAGAGTCATTTGACCGCGGTGGCTTTGGATTTCAGTAGATTGGTGGATGGCAGGTGCGTGGTGATCTCACAATTGATTCGCTGTTTAACAGAGCAACATGATTTGGGTGAAGCACACCACCGGGTGGCATTCACGATGCCCGTTCCTTCGAAATTCGTTCATCCTCAATCATGGCGTTCCTCCTCTCCCTTGGGGCACGTACCTGTTGTCCACGCAGACATGCAACGCGCCTGTTGTCCACGCAGGTCAGATGCTTCCAAGTCTTCAGGACCTCAAAAATGCATAAAAATGCACTCATGCCGTAGTTGAGAAAAATTGAGAAGAGACTCCATAAAGCTGACCCTTCCTGGGGCTCGATTGGTGTGTTTGCTGTGCATGCCCAAAGCTCTCAGTGGCTTCAGCAATTTTTCCATCAACAGGTGTTGCTACGTTTGAAGTCCGTGGCTTCTCGCCAGTTCTATTTCACCATATTTGTCATTGATCCTGGGTATCCGTGTCCATTGAAGCGCAATTAGTACAATCAGATCGAAATTAGATCTATAATCCCAATCATTTCTTTATGATCGCTAAACTCACATGGTTGCTCTTTCGGACACCTCAGAGAAAATGCCAGCTTGACAGATCAGAACCTTTGGGAGTTCAAACCAAACAACCAAAACACCTCGCACCAACCAAGCAACCAACCAACCAACCAACCAACCAAACAAACAAGTGCACCAACATTTGCACTGCCTGCTGCAGCTGGCCATGTTGCATTTCGCAGAAACGCCCTGGACCGGCCGTGACGACTCCAAATGACCTCGACCGATCGGAAGAGCGCATGGACTTGGCGATGTCCCTCCAACGGGCAAGAGATGCCTGGCTACCATCCCGCGCGAGCGGGAAGTGTGCGCGATCTGGACAGGGTCGGAGATCCGTGCGCTTTTTGTGAAACCACAGGACGTTGTAGACATATCCCTACCAGCTGCTTCCAAGGGGTCACCAATGGATATCTCCACACTACTTACAGGTCTCCATTGGGCACCCCTTGGAAGCGCTAGGTATAAGTTTGGGGGTGCAAAGAAGAGCACGTCCAAACTGGCACCTTCACCGCACATGGAGGTAGAACTGGAGCCTGGATTTATACAGACTCGATATGCCAAATTGATGTACCTCCAGTTCGTACCTGAAAACGGGAGATGACCCTATCTTTTAAAAATTACCAGAACGCACAACAAGGCTTTTTGTGAGTTGTTACAAAGGCAAATGTTCTGCAACTCACAACAAGCCCCTCGTTTAAAAAAATAAAAAACATTTTCGGAGGTACGAACAGGTCAACTCCAGACTCCAGGGAGGACTCCATCCATTTTGAAGTCACTCGTTGGGCTTGTCAGAGAGATGTGTAGCAACTGCCTGTGGACGGTTGCGGCCCTGTTGGTTGCTTTGCTTTGACACTTGATTGCGAGAAAGAAAGTATATGAGCTGTTCGGTAGCTATCTAGCTCCAACCTTCATATCTGTGTCAAGCGCTGCCCAAAACTAGCGGCTCGGGAGCTCTCTACCTCAGCCCGCGCTGCTCTCAGGATGAGTCAGTGTTTAGTCTCAGTGCTTCAGAACAGCGAAGAGATCTACACCTGCAACTTGCCGATTTGTCACCAGTCGCGGCGCGAACGCCTGGCGCTCGAGGAGGAGGTGCGCATTCGCGACCTGCCAGATCTCACGGAGCTTACGTTACCGAGGAAGCCCAAGAAGATCAAGGAGAGTGGCTGGGCCAAACCTGGACCCGACTTTGTTCGTACCCTAGAAAATGGGACACATGACCCTGGAAAAGGTTTAACATGTACCAGCACCACACAAAGGGCGGTTATTACATGGAAAATAAATAGATAGGTGGGGCTGGGGGGTCCAGATAAACCCTCCAAACTGGGTGCTGCTGCTAGATGACTGTACCAATTTTCCGAGCTACGAAGCGTTTTCGGGTCTATGAAAACATACATCGACGATCCTAGGCCATTCGCGGAGCAACTCCGGATGTAGCACGAGCTCGCACCACCCAGTCAAGATGATCCGTTCTGCAGTCCAACGTCCTCTTTGCAAACAGACATCGATCTGGAAACTCCATGTGTGCAAGCACACATAGCCTTTGCAGGGTTCAAATGGCCATTGGGCCACTGTTGGTTGAATAGAGATGAATAGAGGTCCATGAAACGCTAGAGCACTCACCATCATAATCCTTTATACCCATCATACACCCTTGACTTTCTTTAATTTACATAGTTGTTAAGTTGTTTTTAATTTTTCAGCGTGAGGCCAAAATTCTTAAAGCACTCCTCCGGTCGGCCATCCACTCTTACAGTTTGTCTTAGGGGCTTGAGTGCGTGAGTAGTGACGATATCCAAGAATGTTCGAAGAAATGCATACTACATCATGCTACATCATACAGTACTACCCAATATTGAAGCATCAGCAATAGTCTCAAATTTGAACAGCATCCTACCCATATCCCATGTTTCTCAAGAAGCAATCTATATATATATATAAAGATTCAACACTGAAACTTACACCAGCCGAAACGATGCCATATACTCCCCAAATGCCCACACCGGCGCGCCAAAGAAAAAACACGTTTTGGACTCAGGTTCCACTGAACCCCACTTGAAGCAACTTCCCTGGCTCGGTGCTGAGCTGTCAGCGACGCCCACTGAGCTGCCGATGCTGGTGCACTGGGCGGACGGCCGCAGCTACCGCGGGGGGTGGCACCCGAACGGGTGGCCGGAAGGCCATGGAGAACTTCAGGTGTGACAGCTTCGCGACGACCGTGCCGACGAGTGGTGGCCCTGATGTTGAGAGCGACAGATGTTGGAGCGAGGTATTGCTGTTGGGTGGAAAGCACGGTAAAGACACCCACAACGGTGCTGGGGTGCGACTGCTGTGTGAATTTGAATTGGTGATGGGAAGAGCTCAGTCTCATCCCCTATTTCTTCCTTCTTAGCCCAGACATGACCCCTTATTGGACGATGGTGACCCGGTCCCTCCCGCCTCGCAGAGGTGCCCGGCCCTGAAGGCGGCCATTGGCGAGGGAATTGGGATGGACAGCCGCGCAGTCGAAAGGGAGGGGGGTCTGGGGCTGGGGATGGGGGTCCGATGATGTCTTTCATGGATCACATGATGCTTTTGTGATGATTTGTGCGTGTTTAATGTTTGTTTAGTGTAAGTTGTAGGATAATTAGGGTTCAAGGATGTTCAAGGACATCTGGCACTTGATTTTTGTTCCTATCGTGCTTTAGATTTACAGCCGACTTCGCAGCTGGAGTGGTGTTTCAGAAGACGACAATAGGTCTCCTCAAGGTCCCATCTTCTTGCCGCTTAGGGAACAGCTGTGCATCAGCTGTACCGGCCTTTGACGACCTCGGTTGATTGACTCCATTCTGAGTGTGTCTTCACTTCATGCTGAACAACCAGCAGAGGCAGATATAGGCTATAGGTATATGAAATGGCATGAATAGACCAACTCGACCCCTTTATATATAGTTGTCCTAAAGGACGTCAGTGTTGTGCATTTCTTGACCGCAGTGCAACACTCTTTGGGTGAGAGAAACGGAACCTTTTTTGTTCAGAGGGCCGGCATGTGACTGACTCAAAGCCTAACCTGGAACTTGAACAGATGACAAGTGGAACACGAGATTGTTTTGTGCCAAGAAACCCAAAGTGATTAAATCGCAATTCATCAAAAACCCTAAGGGTCCAGGACCATCCGAATCGGCCGTCCTTTGGCCCCAAAGACTTTTCTGCGGAAGCACGTATTCACCTCCAAGACCATCCTCATAAGATACCTGGACCCTATGGGACATGTATGTATGCCATTGCACTTGGTGTGTTTGTTGGTAACCAAAAGGTCCACCCAACGGCCCAAATGGAAGAACCATGCAGAACATTCCGCCGAACGTTTGGGGAGAAAATTCGGGGTCTTCCTTGACTATAAACATCTACCTGCACCTTCCAAAGACCTTGGAACATGCATGGGTACAAGACGGTATACCCCCAGATATCTTGGAACATGGGTACCAGAGTGTATACCCTGTTTTTGGTTCGGGTCCAGACGTCCCCTAGTACGTCGGACGGAGCACGGGTCGGGTCCACGTCCGTGGTGCTCCAGGTTGCATGGCGAAGGCGAGTTCATGTCCAACTCGGGCGCCCGCTATGTGGGTCAGTGGTTCGAAGGCCAGAAACATGGACAAGGCCAGAGCTTCTGCCAGCTGCTCCGGATCTTCTTGGAGGGGAGTATGGGGAGTGGTAGTTGTCAGTGGGGGGGCCAAATACATGGAGCATCTCCAGTTCCCATGACTGAAGCAGATTTTGGAGCTGTTTGTTCCATCGAAAGACACCTGGAAGGAGGGAATAGCTGTGAATATCTGTTAAAACATATATATATATATAGAAACCACTTGTTCTGTACGATCTAACAGCTAGTCGTAGTTGTGCCAAGCTACCTGACACGAGCTCCGTCTTCATGGGTGGAGACTCAGTCCAAATCGCGATGTACACGTGGGCATGGGTTGGCAGTGGGCAGTGGTTGGAACATAGCAGAGTGGGTTGGGACTCACGTGCTCATTTTGCCTGGAGGTTTTGCTCTGGGGTTGCAGAGGCGTTCGTTGCAAAAATCCTTCACAGATCAGCGATCCTACCGTTCATGATTTATGGGCCATACACCATCGGTGCGCAGCCATAACATGAGTCGACTCGGGTCGACGGGTCGACCGGTCGACCGATGTCACGCGGGAACTCATCACAGGGGGTCCGGTCCGGGGACATATCTCCTTGAGAGCATCACACTCTTGGGATATGTTGAGAGAGAAGGTTCTTGCCACCACAGCCGGGCTGTTGAAGGGGCTCTTGAAGGCCTTGAAGGGGCTCTTCACTCACCATAGTCTTTTGCCGCTTCAATTCCAGCCAAGAAAAGCTCGAAATCCTTTGCCCCTGCAAGCCACAGAAGTAGCTGCACGTTGCGTACTCGCTTTGGGGTGCTTCATGGATACCCTCTAAGGAGCCATACACCCCGAGTTTCGGGGGCCCTGGTCTAGCCACAACCACAGCAACTCCACACCGTTCTCCGGAGACGATCGGTCGAATCGACAGGCACTGAGACCTGGCCCAATGGCATGAGCTTCCGTGACCGGAGCAGCATTGAGCAGATGTGACGTTTCCGAAATCCTTGTTCCTATCGTCCTAATATAGTCAGGATGTCTAAGAGACACCAATGTCATCCAATGCCAATACAAATGGATTCTATTGATAGACACATGTTATTTGCACATATTTGTACATGATTTCACGATCGAATGTGTTGGCCAAAGAAAATATGAAGACATGTTGTGTCATCCTTGGCGTGTTTGCGAGCCCTCACGAGTCCAAAGCTGTTCTTATCATGTCACGATGGGTAATTATGTGGCTTCAAGCAGGGGATTCCCCCAAATCAGTCATAAGAAGGCCCTAAGGCGAAGAAGTGTCAGGCACGAGTGCTCGATTGAGTGTTGTTTTCTCTCTTGCACATGGCCCACACCCACAGGAATTTTGCGAGTTGTGATCAGGGCTACAACCTAAAATGCTACAAGAAACAAACACCTGGTTGCCTGGTTGCTGGGCAAAGAGAATTCATAGTAGTCATGCCGCTGTTTCCTATTCTAGGACTAAACATAGTTATAATACAGTCTGATTCAGTCCACCTGATAGGGTGTACCGTGATTACCTTAATTTCACTTCTCACTAACAGCCAGGGTTTCCACCCAAAAATACACCGACACGGTTAGGTAGACTTGAAGTCGCCGACAGTTTCACTATTTGATATCATTCACCGATAAAGCATTCATTTCTGGCCTCCAAACGAAGTGCCGCACACACTCCGCTGCCCCACACCGCAGCGGATCTGCCCCACCCAGGTGGCCAATTTCACCACGGTGCACGGTCCACGGGCACCTTGCGCATGCCTAGCGGAGCTGTACGGCGGATCGTGTGAGACCAACACGTCCAAAAAGACCGGAGCATGGATCGCATGGCATGGCGGATTTGGCATGGCGGACCTGGGAGTATGAGTGGGCAAACTCTTATGATGGAATGGTCTATTACTTGATAGGAAAATTCTGAGGAAGTGAAGTAAGCATTAAAAAACAAGATGGAGCCCACGAACCCGAATGCAAACACGTTCGAAAAGCTACATATGTCCAAATGACACTCTTGTAGGACACTCTTGTGGGACACTCTTACAGGACACTCTTGTAGGATACTCCTGAAAGGCACTCTTGTAGGACACTCTTGTGGGACACTCTTGTAGGACACTCTTGTGGGACATTCTTGTGGGACACTCTTGTGTGACAGTCTTGTAGGAAACTCTTGTGGGACATGGGACACTCTTGTAGGACATGTTTGATTCGGACATTCTTGTGGGACACTCTTATAGGACACTCTTGTGGGTCACTCTTATGGGACACTCTTGTCGGACATTCTTGTGGGACACTCTTGTGAGACACTCTTGCAGGACACTCTTGTGGGGCACTCTTGTGGGACACTCTTGTAGGACATTCTTGTAGGACACTCTTATAGGACACTCTTGTGGGTCACTCTTATAGGACACTCTTGTGGGACACTCTTGTGGGACACTCTTGTAGGACACACTTGTAGGACACTCTTGTGGGACGCTCTTGTGGGACACTCTTGTGGGACATTCTTGTGGGACACTCTTGTGGGACACTCTTGTGGGACATTCTTGTGGGACACTCTTGTGGGACACTCTTGTAGGAAACTCTTATGGGACACTCTTGTAGGACACTCTTGTGGGACACTCTTATAGGACACTCTTGTGGGACACTCTTCTGGGACACTCTTGTAGGACCACTCTTGTGGGACACTCTTGTGCCTGTGGGACACTCTTGTAGGACACTCTTGTGGCACACTAGAAGCACTCCTGCGAGCGTTTCGTACGAGACGTCCTCCAAAAGTCACGCTTCGAGGCTGCGCAAGACGAGCGTTTCGTTCGAGACTTTCTCCAAAAGTCACGCGTCAAGTCTCCAAAACGAGCGCTTCGTACGAGACTTCCTCCAAAAGTCACACGTCAAGTCTCCAAAACGAGCGTTTCGTACGAGACTTCCTCCAAAAGTCACGCGTCAAGTCTCAAAAACGAGCGTTTCGTACGAGACTTCCTCCAAATTTCGCGCGTCAAGTCTCCAAAACGAGCGTTTCGTACGAGACTTCCTCCAAAAGTCACGCTGCGAGGCTGCAAGACGAGCGTTTCGTACGAGACTTCCTCCAAAAGTCACGCGTCAAGTCTCAAAAAACGAGCGTTTTGCACGAGACTTCCTCCAAAAGTCCAGCGGAAACACCCATCGAAGCACACACATCACGCAGCCCTGCCTAGCAATTTCGCGATTCCAGCCCCTCCAAACAACACCCGCTCACACGCAAATCCCAATGTGACAGCGACATTCACCTCTACCATAACTCACGACCTCACGATTCCCTGCGCCTGCCACGAATCTTTCCGCATCCACACGTCTAACGCGCGCAAAGTACTGCGCCTGCCACGAAATGTCACCTCCGTCACACCTCGCAACCTCACGATTTCCTGCGCCTGCCACGAAAATCGCACTTCCACACCTCAAAATCAGCACAAAGTACTGTGCCTGCCACGAAAAGTGAGAATATCATCTCACATGAGCTTCAACAAAATTTGCACCACACCACACGTTTAGAATGATTTCGACCCGTTCTGAGCACACTCCCATCCACCAAAATCGCCATTTCAGCTGAGACTTGTCACGAAAACAGAGCTTCGATGCCACACCCTGAAATGCAAATCCCAATGGCACGGCCACATCCAACACCCCAAAAACACGACTCTCCAAACGCTAATCCCAATGGAACTGCGCAGTAAACTGCGGATCTCTCAAACCACTGCGCCTGTGCAGCGAAATGCATCACGCTTCTTGCGCGACATGTCATTTTCATGCAAATCACAATGGAATAGCGTCGCAAACTGACACGTGACACATCCATGAAAAGTCACTTGCAAAAGCTTCCCCCAATGGCAGCGCCTTAGCGTCCTACTGCGAACGGTTGCGAACGGTTGCGGACGGTTGCGAACATAGAAGCAACGGATCGCGAACAAGGCTCTACCCCCAGACCCCCGAGAGTTAAACGAGAACCCTTCGCTACGCATTCGGGAAAACTTTTTAAAATCACTTCATGGTCAAGCTCAGGGCTCAGTTGTTCAGTCATGTTCAGTCCATTCAAACCGCACCTTGATCGATGTGCAGAGCTCCGTGCAGAGCTCAGCTGCTGGGCTCAGCTGCTTGCACTGGACATGAAGCAGAACGCAAATGGTTCATGCGACCTCAGGTCGCTGTGAGGTCGGCCCTACCTGTGATCTGCTGATGTGGTTGTTTTTGGGCAAGCACATGTTTGGTTGGTCGGGGATGGCGACAATGACTCTTGAAGTGTTAACTTCTTCCACGCGGTTTCACTTGCTAAGTGTGAAAGAAAAACACGTGTACAAAACCCCAATGACAGCGTTGATGAAGGACGTTCCAGGTCAATTCGGAAGCAACCAGCTTTTAAAGGATCAGACCTTCTCATAGTTGCTTCTAAAAGGATCAGAAATAGCCTTTGTCTCCTGCGTGGCAACCCGCGCCATGCGATGGAGGAAGCAGAGGCGCGTATGTTTTTAGTGATTCCGGCAGACGAACTTACGAGCACTTACGAAGACAGGATCATACCAACTTGATCCATCTTGAATCTTAAGGACACTTCAATCGCAATCAGATTCACCGCCAGAGCGGGACATCGCTCTTGTTTTCTCGCATTTGCACGGCAGAAGTTGGCCAAGACGGAACGCCCGGACGGTCGGTCGTGAGCAGTGCGCGCAGGTCTTCCGCCTGGTTCGCTTGGGCCACTTCGAGGAGGCCTTTTCGGGAGGCGGAAAAAAAGGACGCCCCATCACCTTTAGGTGGTGGTTTCGGATATTTTTGTTATTTTCAACCTTTACTTGGGACGGTTCAACTCCATATTTCTCAAGTGAGTTGGACACCACCAACAGTCGACCTGTTTCTTGGTTTTCACTACTTCCGACTTCGGGGTCGTCAAAATGGGTCGGCAGCGGTCCGCTTCTTTCACATGTTTGGGCTCCGACCCTCCTTCGAAGGCGGTTGGAGTTAGACCGCCCCCTTGGCGCCCACTAACTCACCATCACGGAGCGGGAGGTAGGCCAAGAGTCCGTGCTATACGGGTCACTGGATCCGAGCGGCTTTGCAGGGAAACCATGGACCGACGATGGACGATGGAGACCGAAACCTGCACGTTTCGGTTTCGACCCCGTCCGAAGAACCGGTTGAAAGGGGGGGGGTCCGTACTGTTTCGACGGGGATATGTATGTGCATGTTCCCGAAGACTGGTCGATCACTTCAGAGTGTCGACCTGCTTTCTGGGACCCTGCAAGAATCATTAAGCCATAAGCGGTATCCTTGGCTCCGCTGGACTCCCTTTCGTGCTCAACTGGAGCAGGGCTCGGCCCGAAGGCATTGTGTTTTTTTTGCGCCTTTCACTGGATCTCGACGTCATGCTTCAGTTTGCGACACTAAACATTATAGGCCAGGTGTATCCAGGTGTGATTTTGTCTCCGAATGATCAACAGCAAGCACATCAGCCTGAAACACTATCAAAGGCGCATAGCCGCTAAAAGACTCAGAACATTAGATGTACAAAGGAGTCCATGCCAAATGGTTGTCCGAGATGCACCAATGGGAAAAAGCAATCAATCAACAGCAGGCTACATAAGAGGAGCTTTACACGGTATCAACATGTATCATACGTATTGTGCAAGGAGCTCTCCGAGCTCTCTTTGTTTTTTTTCAAGCCACCCGTGTGCCCAATATGATAGTGTCATATAGCGTCATTAATTTCCCAGAACTTCCAAATGACGATCCATCACTTCCATGAGGGTATCCCATGATGTAAAATCAGTCACATTTGGACGTCATTTCTCTGGAGGGCAATCCCTCCTTCCACTGTTTGGTTTCCATTTTCCTCTCCTTCTAACGATTGGGACGACTCTCAGTTGACGGACACGGTTTTCCATGTCTGGCAGACTGCCGGCCCTGTCGTGGAGCCTGTAGACTAGACATTTCAGACCTCAAAAGAAGATCTTCGCCCGGTTTAGAACATGGTTGGTTTGATGTGGCGGGAATTGGTGGGACATCCTCTTCACTAGCCACACAAACCATACAAAAACCTGGGTTTTCTTCACAGGACTCTTCCTCGCCTCACGAGGCCTTGCCCAAGTTGCGGAAGGAGCCATCACTCTGGCAGACGCGTGAGGAGGCCCCATCTCCCATCTCCCACATCGACGGGGTGCACCGGTTCGCTGGCAGTATGGCACGTTCGCTGGAGGGGCAGTAGAAGGTGTTGACAAAAAACGCTTTTGAAGGTGGAGCACTCGCAGTTGTGAGAGGCTAGACCGCTTTCTTGAAGAGGGAGTAACTACATGTTGATTTGATATTAAATATATGACTGGATGTGATATCCGTCCTGCATCGGTAGGAGTGTCTCCACGGATCCTGGGTTGGGATGAGTTTTGGGTGATGTGTCTATTTCTGTGGAGCAATCCTCAGGAATGATGTGTTGATTTGTGTCCCGGTTCCTGGGCAGCGAATCCCTTACAGTGGTCAGAGTAGATGGCACAGACCCCAGGATGTCCTTTAGATGGGGTTCCATATCAACCACCGACATTGGGGTCTGTGCCATCTACTCTCAACCCACTATATAAGGTTACCAGTTACCTGGGCAGCGAATTGCTATGATTTTTCAGACATCTTTTTGGCCCACCATTTGCTTGTCCACACCGTCGCGGACTTGGCACACTCCGGCCCGATCCACGGGATGCGTGGAAGAAGTAGATCCAGATCCAGCTGGTGTTGTGCAAAGTGTGGTTGCCGGAGCATTGAACATGAGTTCAGCTCCGGCTCATCTGTCCACATTTGGCATGCTTCAACAATCTGTGCATCTGGCAGGCTGGTTCATGCTGACCGTCAAGAATCATCACTTTTGCACGAGTCGGTCGTTTCAACAGGTGAACCGCCCTGCACTCACTCACTCAATCACTCTCTCTCTCTCTCTCTGTGTCACTCGACGGGACTTCGGTTGGCACCGCCACTTCTGGACGAAGCGTGGTTCGCGACTGCGGGCCCAGTCGGGTTGCACGACAGCTGCTCCTGGAGCGCCTGCTAAGCAAAACCGTGTATCCCACCATCCATAGGACTGGAATAGAGCTCCATTTGGATTAATTTACCTGAGTGAGCCCTCCATGTAAGTAACTCTTCCAGTCCCATAGATGGTCTGGGGTCGCTGCTGCTCACCGTGATCGCCCAAAACCCGCGCGCTCCACCCAATCGCCAACCACCGAGTCCAGGAAATGGCGAGATGAGTTCTGGAAAGAAGAACAGCCTTGCGTTTCCTTCATGCAGACTAGTTTGATTATATGTCACACCCATTTCACACCATTCACACCCCCATATGAAGAGGCCGTTCAATTCAAATGAGGGTGCCGGTTGTGAATCAAGATTCTACATCACGGCACGTCAAATCATCAGCTTGAAGAATTTGGTTGTCGATCCGCGATTGCGCAACAGCACCTGAGCTTGTTGCCCAGGCTTGTTCGCAGGTCGTTGATCAGCACATCCAGTACACACTCACACATAACTGCTTCATCGTGAGATGTTTGTTGGCACCGCCTGATGAGGCTCACGACAGCTGAAGGAGCCACCTTCACGATGGAACATCACCAAAAACCTTCAGATGTGGATGATCCACCTTCGTCACACCTGCATCCAAAGAACTGCTCCACTAGAGCATGAGACGTTTGTCAAAAAGGCATCCTTCGTCACTTCGGCGCTGCAGGTGGTGCAGGTGGAGGAGATGGAAGTTTGAGGGAGATAGGCCTTAGGCCCCTGGTGTTTTTCCCCTGGAAGTTTGCGGCGTGAGATCAGATCGGATCTTCAAAAAACATTGCAAACCTTCCAGTCGGTGGAACGGTCAACCCCATGTCCACCAGCATGTCACTCTGACTCACCTGTCGCACTGACCGACCTGGAGCGACCCAGGGTGGTCACAGTGTGCTTCACTGGGCTGCACTGCCAGGGCCCCAGTGGCAGCAACTCCTAGTGGACGGTCTTAGCTCGTTTCTTTTGTTGGGAGACTGGGCGTTTCATGTTACTTTATGATTGCATATACCGTACCTCTAATTATATAGTTGTTCCACGTCACTCAAGCACTTGAGAAGGATTCACAGGAAACCTGAGATGAGGTGCAAGTCTATCCACACACCCTTTGAATGCCAAGGTTAGCAGAGTCTAAGAGTTTTATATAGGTTTGATTATGTTAGAATTTGTTCAACGTGTTTTGTTCTACGTTATATTAATAAATGCACAAAGTTCCGACCTGACAGGGACTTTGCAACCCCCTGTGAAGAAGGATTGTGGAGATACAGGCACTCTTCATACATGCTAGTGTACAGCTTCCAGTCCAGATTTTCACCCGTCGCTGGACTCAACCGGGTTCCACACAGGCGGCAGTCAGTCTTCGACTGCTTTGACTAGAGGGATGATTGAGAGATGTAAAGCAAAAGAACAGTGCCACCATCTCGATCAATGCTTCTGATGGGAACACTGAGACAGATGGTAGCTGGTGGATCGGAATCTGAATCTGATAGACCAGCAATTGATGATGTGGTTCACAGTTGTGAGAAGTTCTTCAGCAGTTTATATATTATATATAGGTTTTTTTCCTATCAAAACAGGGTTTGCTCAGGTTCTAGGGATATCTATTTTTTGTAGAGATTTAGTCATACCTTCTCAGAAGGTACTTGGACCCTGGTCTGTATATACTCCCAGTAGTTCCAGCCTACCGTAGCAGGCATCTCAGTATATTGATCCTAGAAGATCACATGCCACCCGAGTTTCCAGAGCACATCGCTCCTTGCAGCACTGTTCCTGGTGTTCCCATTCTTGGGATATCGTTGGCTGAATTTCTGCTGATTGGTCTCCATCAAGTCGCCGTCCAAAGCCAGATTTCAGAGATACTCGTACCACCGGGTAGCATGTGTTTCCAATGAGTGTGGGGCTGGAGAACCAACACGAATCAAAAGACCTAGCCTAAACTATGTGCAAAATACATTAGTTTGACCAGCTATATTCTAGATGCTTTGTTCTTTTTTTTCCAGAAACGGTTTGTCCTTTCTTGGCGCAAGTTCATCAAAGCCAAATAAAAACACCGGGCACTGAGGCAGAACCAATGTTCCTTCGTGCGGGAAGCATTGCAACACGTTGAGGTCGCTGGGCGTGTTGGAGCCGGGGGCAGTTGGCCCATATTAGACCGGAAGCAGTCTTAGAGTGGAATGTGGCCAACACATTTATATCCTTAGGGATCCAAGTACCTTCTCAGCAGGTGATTGGAGACACCGCTATGTAGGTTTGGAGGGTCCAAGTACCTTCTGAGAAGGTACTTGGATCCCTAGGGTATATATACCTTGTGCCTCCAAACACGACAAAAACGTAGGGTTCATCCCAAAACACGAGGTTCTTGGAGGAAACACGAGGTTTCCCATTTTGGTGTTTTTTCCGCCCATGCCATCTTCGAAGGCCGGGCCACAGGAACTTGAATTCAAACTCAAAAAGCACAGGTTGATGATCAGAACGAAAAACAAAAACTCAACCAAAAATGCAACTATTGTACCCCCCTAAAACCCGTGAAAAAAACACGGGTTGTCACGGTATAATCACGGGTTTGTCACGGGTTTGGGAAACATGATGTTTTTTCTGAAACCCCGAGGTTTTTCATCCAAAATCACGGGTTGACACGGGATAATCACGGGTTTGACACGGGTTTGTCACGGGTTATCGGAGCTCTCAATAACGGACCCGAACTTTTCCTGACAAGAGTGTTGAATGTTTTTAACATATTGTGAAACATGTTTTGACCACGGAAAATTTGATAAGTCGGCGGGAGAAAATACATATGGAGCACCTGCACATGGCTATCGAGGGTTTTGGGGCAAAACACGAGGATTTGGTTAAAAACCCGAGGTTTTCCCTTATGTCACGGCTAAACCCGAGGTTTGTTTTCAAACCCGACACATTTGTGGGGTTCAGATGCTCAGGGTATATATATGTGTGTGTTCAACCTCTGACCTCTAGGCTTATGAATTATACTTGTCAACCATGCTTGACGGACTTTCGGGGCAGTCTCCTGGCAGCAATTTGCAGCTCGCCCTCGGAGCTACTTGAAAGTTACCGCTTGTATCCGGCGCCATCCGGCGTGGTTTTCATGACCAAGACTCTCATGTTTACACAGGTCAGGTCCTCTTGGTTCGTGCATCCTTTCATCCACAACTCCAGGCATTGTCTGGCTCACACTCCGGGACTGGGACGACCTCTGGAAGAAATCGGGGATGCCAATGCCAGACAGGTCGTGTATATTGGGAGTTTCTTTTCAGCGCAAGCTGTGGCTCCTTTGACCGTGGGTATTGTACTAATTTGTATTTCAATGTAAATACTTCAGATTCAAAGTTCTTGACAGTTCTTGACTCTTGACAGGTTGTTGATTGGTTCATTCATGTGTCGCGGTATTGCGTCACTGTTGGTCTCTAGGTGTTTGCAGACCGTAAAAGCAATGGTGGAAGATGCAGAAACTGTAGGAAAACTATATGAAACTCTTTATATAAGGGATCAGCGTGAAGCTTGGCAGGACCCTCAGCTATCTTCCACCCCAGACACGAGAAATGGGACGAATGAACCCTAAAATCAACTACGTCCAATGAAAGGCAGTCCCAGATTGCTGGTAGTAACTCGATGTGCTCCAACCTGGGTGCGCGAAGATCTAGGAAGACAGACGTCCCTGGTACTGACCTACTAGAAGGTTCGGACGACCAGTCTACCCAGCCAGGGCCAAGGGTTCTCCCTATTGAAATAGCCACCTGGTCTGCCAGGGCCAAGGGTGAACCAACTGTGGTCGGTGGACCAAAACCATGGCGCCGGTCGCGTTTCTTCCCGCCTTTGTCCCGCAGCCGCGTTAAGACGTTGCGTCGGTCACCGCATAGCGAAAAGATGGCCGAGAGCAGTGACTCGTTCCGGAAGTTGGCGGAAAGCGGAGTGTTTGGTTGGTGTTGTGAAAGCTCTGAATTCATGTTGACCATGGCACATACAGTAACGGAATTTGTTTCGGAGTGGGGGATAGACATGAAGGGGACTCGGTACAAAGAACCGCCGGGTTCGGTGACCAGACCGGGCAGATGCCAGGCGCATCCAGTTTGCTTCAGCGGTGGGGGTGTGCGACAGAACGGGCACTCCTTATTCCAACGATGGTCAAGCCACATGACGACAGCGGGCTTTTTCACCCAAGGGCGCTCCGAAAACAAGAACCGGTTTCGTCCGGCCTTCTTCTCAATGGGTTGACATCCGTAGAGGGCAAGGCTGAAAGGGGATTTCCATGTCATGACAGCTTTTCGGCCAGAGCAAAGATAAGGGTGCACCTCCTATGAATGAATGGAACTTGAAATCCACTGCCATATCGGTTATTGATCTACACAAGACTTTCAAGGCCTTGCATTGGACAAATCAGGGAACCTCCTCAAACCGCTTGTCTTGTATAAAGGACAAGCAATCCTCAGCCCTTGTCGTGCGGGGTTTACAAGGAGGGTGCGGACCTGTTTTCGCATAACATACAGAAAGGGTCTCCCACAAACCGGCAGTGACGCAAGTCCAGGAGTTCCAAGTCCAATGCCAATTCTCTGTCCGACTGTGTCCAGTGTCCTTACAGGGGATAAAAAAAAACAAGTGAAGCAAGATCTCACACTGGGGTGGTGCTTTCATATTCCCTAGGGATCCAAGTACCTTCTCAGAAGGTACTTGGAGCCTCCAAACCTACATAAATAGCCTCCCTGAGCACCTTCTGAGAAGGTACGTGGATCCGTAGGCATTGTATAATGTTCAACTTTACTTGATGAAAAAGAACCCACGAACTCATATGGTCCTTCATGGCCACTTTCAACTCACCTGGCCCAGGTTCCCCCAGCGTTTGGGAGCGCTTCTTTACGACCAGTCGGCCCAAAGGCCGGGGGCAGGTGGCGTTCGGATGGCTGCTGGATCTGTGGATTGGGTTCCTGAAGGCCCACAGATCAAGTCTAAAGTCTTTGATTCTTAGAGTCTTTCATACTAGACCCTTGGACTTGCTGACTTTTACTTCCACCCAGAGTCTATCCTTTCCATCTCAGCTTGACCTCCCTAATCAAGTCCTTTTTGTTTGGGCCTTTTGTTTTCAGTGCCCCAGCTCCTTCATCCCCCCCCAAAAAAAATAAAAGCGCGACCCTCCCACACCTTTCCCCCCCGGCCGGCCGCCCTCACTTGGCTCCGTTCCAGCGCCATTAGGCGACTGGACGGGGCCCGACTACGGCAGCAATCCCTGCGGACTCCCCCGGCGCAGCCGGCCCAGCGATGCGGAGCAGCTGCGAGGAGCGGAGATGGGGATGGGGATGGGGATTGGAACCGAAAGAGGTGAAGGTCTGGAGGAGAGTGGTCATGTTTTGAGGTGATTTTGGGGGATGGGATGGGGAAGATCAGAGGTGAAGATGGTGCCGATTGTACTCTAAATTAAGCAGTTTTTGTATATTTTGTAACAGGAAGTATGTCGTCACTGTAAGTAGGTCAGTGGGATGTTGATTCTATATAATCCGTCTTGTCTTTTGTGTAAATGGGAGCGCCCCCACAAACATCAATTAATCCCTTCTTTTGTGATTCTCTAAAAATAACAGCTTTGCCACTCGTCTCCATAAGTCCGAACTATTAGAACGGCGTAACCCAAACAAGATGCACCCACCAACAAAACACGCTTGCCGAAGACAAGCAACTCCCCGAGACCGTTTGTATCCTCCGCTTCGGACTGCGCTGCGTGCGCACGACAGGCAGCGAGAGCGTCCGCCGCGCGCTCTCGGAGAGTCCGGCGCCGCTGAGCTGCCGGGAGAGCGCGCTGGAGTCAGCACGGAGGCCGCTACTTCCGGTGGGCATGCGGTGGCCACGGTTCCGGTTTGGCACTGCAATTGGTGGTGCGGTGGTTCCAAGGTCACCTACAAAAACATATAGAACAAACAGTCAGTGTAATGATGGAACATGCAGTATGAGAAACTAGATGTTTCATGGGCATACCGCATGTCACATGGAATTGTAGTTTGGCTTTGTGGTAGTTTTCTGATTCCCTTGGTGTGAGGCTTTGTCCAGAATCCCACGCATATCAGTGCATGCTTCGTCACCCAGAACCAGTGGGCCCACGAAGTGCATGACCAACAGGATGTGACTTTCACATCGATGCTGGAAGTGTTGAACTCCTCCATCAGCAGTCGCAACAGCAGTCACGTTGTTTGTCACATGCGGTTCCTCCAGGCGCTCGAAAACACCTTTAGCCGGCTATGGCGAACGCAGCCCACCTTGCAGTGCTCGAGGCCAGATGGGGGGGGGATTTCGACTTTAACCATGGAACCAGTCCTTCACCACCACGTTCACCACCCAAAACACCATGGCCATACAACCTGCAGCTTCAAAGGGGTGTCCATCCAAAAGATTCCATAAGTAGTAGGGTAGTCAGTCTGGAAAGTTCTGGATGGATTTCTCATGATTTCTCAATTTCATAGGGGTTGCTTTCTGGGGGGCTTTATTATAGTGCATGGGCGTTTGGACAAGTCCGAAACATAAATCGCAGCCAACTGTCTATGTGAGACATGTTTTGGCTCTGCAACATATGGTTCGTTGGCAGAATGGTGCTCAAAGAAAGCAGACTTTAGCCTGGAAGGCCAAGCGAAGTGATTACAACATCAATAGGGCTTGACAAGATCCAGCCTGCACCTCACGTGCATTTTCCAAGTCTTGGAACTGATGTGCTCCGTGAACAGAAACCATCAAGCGAAACAACCTTCCATCTCCAAGGTTTCTCCAAAAAAGCCCACAACATCGCTATCAAGTTGACAGCTTCGTGGTACCCAAATCAGCTTCTTAGTTCTCAAAATAGGTTTCGCAAGATCTAGGGTTTCATCGTTACCCAAATCTAGGGTTTAGAGTTTAGATTCGTGGTACCAAGGTCTCAAAAAGGTACTCAAATCGTCATGATGTATAGGATTTCTCCACCTTTTAGAGGACCACGCTCCTCTCGTCTGGCAGCTCCTCTCTTTGCCACGACCAAAACACCCACCGTCCACTCACCACGACCGACGACTGAGCTCCAGTCGTACCGGACTCGTGGCTCGGTTCGGTGGGACTGGGGTGGGTCAAGTCTATAGCCCTATAGGGATCCAGTCGTACCTTCTCAGCAGGTGAGGAAGGAGACACCGCGATGTAGGTTTGGAGGGTCCAGTCGTACCGAACCTGAGAAGGTACGACTGGATCCCTATAGTGTAGAGGGTCCAGTCAGACCGAACCGATTTGGAGCAACGACTGGAGCCCCGAACCTTTCGGGTGGACCGCGCCGCCCAGCCGCGCCGAGGTGAACCCATCGAAGCCGGCGACCTGCCGCGACGGCGCCTCTCCGTGGCTCGGTTCAGCTTGAGGTGCCAAATGGGTGCCCTTCAAGATGAGGCCATTTGAAATCGTTTCAAACAGATCAAGGGCGGAAAGATAGATGGAAGAGGAGCCTGCAAGAACCTGCATGTTTGGAGATCGTTTGGAGGATGTCTCACTTGGAACTTGCTATGCACGGTGCTTAGTGGCTGAGTGGGGGTGGCGCTAAGAAGCAGGGACTGTAAAGTTCTTGCGTGATTCCACCACCAGTGAAAGAAACCAAACACGGGGTTGTTTTTCTTAGCTTACCATGCCCCAACCCTACTGTACTTGGAAAAATTAGCGCTGAATGGGAAACTATATTCCTGAAATCAACTGACATGTTTGTTGATCTTGGTTGGTTGTGTCAATACTTTTCTCCCCCACAGTCTCACCACCCCTGAATTCTGCGAAACCATTCAATGTCTTCGGGGGGGGGTCCACCAATTGAATCAGGCATGTTGCACTCGCAAAAAAAGAACAACTCATGGAAGTGTCTCAGAGCTTCCAGAGTGGCAGATTCCGGAAGCAGCAGGTCTTTCTTTATAAACCTCGCAGTGGATCCCCGGCAGTCACTATATATAAGGAACCAGGGGCCCCTTCCCTTCGGTCAAAACGGCTTCCGCTTCCGACGTCCCGACCGGAACTGCCTGGATCCACTGGGACGGCCGCAGACATGCCTCACTCTCGCAACGATGGGAGTGTGTTAGTGTGTTGATAGTGGTCGGGCAACATGGGATGGTGATCATGGGGATGACATGCTGGGTTTTGGACAAGTTTGTGTTGTTTCATAATGACCATTTATGGCATGTCCATATATTGCAAATTTGCCGGCGGGTGTTCTTGTGTGATAGGATTCAGACAGGACTGCGAACGATCATCCACTGGCCCCTCGGCCTGTGTTCATCTGTTCTGGGCCATAAGCCATAAGAAGGTCCACGGTAGAAAAGGTTCCATTTGTTCTAGGCACAAGGAATCTTCAACTTGCGCGTTTGTCCTATTCTATGCTCACCAAGAACTCAGTGAACAAACCTCACATGTTAGGGCCACAACAACTACACTCTCAAGAACACATCACATGGAAGCTTCCCATGCGATGTGTTTGTCGGAGTGTATGGCCTTCGGCTTTCGCCTTTTCTTGAGGACTTGGCCACCGCCATGCAAAGCGGCTCTGGCGTGCGTGAAGCTCTAAGCCCCCCAGCTCCGGTGCGACGGCTCTTTAGCCGAGGTGGGACAGTTAGAGCGAGCGACGGCGACATGCTGGGGCCCGGGGTTTGGGTGGTTTGGCAGGTTTGGGTGTTAGAGCCAGCGGCGGTTGTGTTGTTTTTTTTGTACTGTGCTGAAGGTTGCAAAGGCCTGGAAATTTGGACTCACCATCGAAGGTTGGGGGGGTGTTACTTGTCAACAGTCAGCAGTATACGTAGTCTGAAATTCCTGGTATAGTTTGTCACAGATGCTGTGAAAAAGAACGGTCTATGAGATCAGCACCAAGGAATTGAAGGCTGATGTGTGTTGGTAGGAACGATTGTGCCTGCGCATTAAAGGTAGAAACAGCTATCCCTTTTGCTAGATTTACTATGCTGTCATAAACCTGTGATTGTTGATCACTATGCTTCTCCGAATGAGAAGGGCCCAACGACCCTGGTAGAAAAGGAATCACCTTCCGCCCAGCTATGGACCGAAGTTCGCCTTGATTGCCGGTGGCGAACGGACATACGTGTGTGTGTATATATATATATATCAGTCTAGGGAGACCCCCTAGACTTGGCTTCTTGAAAAAATGAATCAGTACCGCTGTGATTGGAAGGTCTCCTCATTCTAATAGGCACACAGATGTGTGTATGTGTGTGTGTGTGTCTCCTTTTGTAAGGACATGCTTTTGATGTTGCAA